TAGTGTCGCCCATGGACAGTTTTTCGTACCGAAGATTGTCACCATTTCACCGGCATGTGCATTTTTAAGGCTTTCTCTCTTTACTTGACGTAACCTCCTGTTTTTACCTTAATTTGTTTTTCTGAAAATAAGCATTTGACGAATAGCTGCACTAATATCGTGTGACATAAATTGTAACTACCAAAAGCTTCATCAAATCTGCTTTTACAAAATGTTTGGGGGTTTAACTAATCTTCAGGCATAAATTGTACACTTAAACGTGAGCAAAACTGCTCTGGCAGCGAAATAGTTAAAGCTAGGTGCCAGTAGCTTTGTAACTGGTATTTGAAGAGCATCTACTAATGTTTGATGATCTCTGGCTACAGAGTTCCTGATGTAGCTGGATACAATACCTGTTAATGGAGTTACAAAATCTTGGTGTGACTAGATACTGAATCTGGCAGTCCTGCAGCTAACTGCATGACTACACCAAGTCAGTTGCTTGGCCTTCACAATGTCTCTAGCTGCATTGATCTTTATAGATTACTTAAAAAGTAAAGTCTCAGGAAACTTCCTGTTCTGGGATGTGTGTGTTCCTAAATTATATTTCCGTTACTGTTTTCTTTCTTTATATGTTTTATTGAAAGACAAAGGAAATGGAGATAGGATGCTGAGTAACAGATCTCCTCAATCATTGCCCCAAGAACAATAAATGCAGCTGTATAAGGCACAGACCATTGTCCCTTCCCATGTTTCCTGTGCATTTCAAAAGACTTTAACCTGCACTTTTGTGTATCAACCAGGGAAGCCATGTGAATTATCCAATCCAGCAATGTCTTGTTGATTTTGTTTTAAAGTGTACCTGTCAGCTATTTTTAAATGTTCTTAGCAGACAACACAATATGCCTGCTGTAGGTTTGAATAAACGTCTTTCTGAGCCACTTTAACCCTAGGTTCACATCTGTGCAGGTGGTGCCGCTGCGGATCCGCACGAAAATCCGTGCAGCCGCACCACCCGCATAGAGAAATGCAGACCCATGGGCCGGTGCTATTAGTTCTAATGGCGTGCTGCCCGCACTGGAAAAGGCAACCGTACTGGGAACCGAGGTTCCCGTGTGGGCTGCGTTTCCAAAAGAAGTGCAGGGACTTCTTCCCTGCGTGTCACGGGCACGTAAGTCCATTCAAATGAATGGGCTCTCGTGCCCCTGCAAAACGCGGACCGCACTGCCGCATATATATGTACCGGGGGTAAAACTAGTTTCACTTTGCTTCTGAAACCTAACAGGGCATAGTCCCAACAGCTACCAGTCTACAGTCAAGTGAAGGCACCTCTGTTGGTAAGGCGGCCAGCCTTATTGGCTGGGAAGATAACAACATATACTCAGATCCTTTTTAATAGCTCAGTCCTGACTGGTTCTCTTTTAATATACATATGCTTACTTAAAAGAGAAGTATGGGATTTGTTGTTTCTGATCTTTTTTTTATTTTTACTTATCTACATGGATGCAACATTGGTCCCCAGTGGCTCTAAGGGTGAGAACTCAGCGATCACATGATCACTGAGTTCACAGCTGCTCTGAGCAGAGAGCGGTGACAGTCATTCATTGCTGTCTGCTATGCCCTGCTGTCTATGCCCCACTCTCACTGGAGCATTGGGCTGTGGAGGGGGAGGGAGCGGCTGGCTCAGGCTCTCAGTGGATTGCTGAGAGGCTGAACCAGATGCTGCTCCAGACTCTGGGGTAGATCCCGACTTTAAAGTCTGGATCTCTCCCCAGCCTGGACCAGCTGAGCGACGTCAGCTGAAAATGGGTCACAGTAGTGCAGAATGAAAAGGGAATTTGGCTGTACATTCTTTTAAACTTGCTATTCAGGATTGGTATTTTTCCCATTCAGCCAGTGGGTTTGAGGGATGGAGCAGTCTGCTTTATCTATAGCCCCCCCCCACCCCTCCACCTGGTCAATGGTTGTTTTTTTTATAGCGGCATCCCCTCCACTTTCGGAATACACTGATCTGCAGCTGATTGGCCGCAGCTGCTGATCGATGGAAAATTTTTCAGCATGTTCCTTTTGACAGAAGTGGATTAGCCGATCAACTTGGGTCAAGCAGGGGGGCTCACAGACTGATCAAAATTTGGTTGGACCTGTTTGAATTTTGATCAGCATGTGGGCACACTCAGCTCTGGAGCTGCTAGTTATCCTAGCAATCTTTAAAAATACATTTTAGGTTAATATCGAGCTCTATTAATAATTTTCCTGGTTGAGTTTCTGAAGTGTTTAACTTCGATAATGATTTGCAACATTTACAAAAATTGCATTGTGTCCCTTTTTTTTCTTTTTTTTAACGTTTTTCCTGTTTTGAAACCTGAATGCGTACTAGCGGCTGTGTGGAATAGTTAATAGATCAGCCTGTCTGTGGCAGGGAGTAGTGGGTGCATGCTTGGAATATTTGGTCTGTGTCCCAGTTTCAGCATTGGGACCCGAAACTGACCTCAAGGTTATGTAAAGTTGATTAGTCCATGCAAGCTGTGCACCTAATCAGGTGTTTCTGACTTCCCATAGTGAAGTCAGATGTTTATACTGAAGTGAATTTTCCCCAAATCCAGGTTTTTGGGTTTTGTTTTTTTTATTTTCCCATTCAGATTTATGTTCCTAGAAATGCAATCAAGGTGAATAAACCCTTAGACTAAGGTTAGAATACACAACTTGAATTTCAGCAGGTCCCTTCTGAATTTCAAGCCATGGATGGCCCTGTTGGCACCACCTGGCTTGGGAAGTTGACTAAGCCAGGTGAAAATGTTTTTGGCTGCATAGTGGCTGCTTCCAGTTGGATGCCATTACTCTTTGGATATTCAGGCAGCCACAAGTGCTGCAGCTGGCTGCGTACAACAGCCAGCAGTGGAGAATCCTCCTTCCACACAGTTTAGTTAGATTTAGTCACAGGCTGAACAAAAAAATAGATTCTCCCATCCTAACTTTGTATACTTTCCTTCTGCTAGTGACTTCTGGAGGAGAATGACTATACCCTTTCATGAATTCAGATTTATTGAAGGTCTCTGCATAGTAGTTCAAAATTTTAGCTTTTGATGAAACCACTGATGTGTAATGTATCTGATCAACTGATAAGGATGCTATTGAAGTTACTCTTATGCACTAAAGTGCCTAGAGATTAGAGAGGCTGTCATATGTCAGAGCAATCTAGGCTTTGGGGCCCCCGGGGCACTCTACTTCAATAACCAACAGAATGAGTAGTTCTTTTTTACTTTCTGCCAGGAGTTGTGTAAAGCAGCTCAAATCCTTGTTAAGCTGGCCATAGATGAGTGAGGTTTTTTCGTTCAACCTGTGGGTTGAGCAAAAAAAAAAAAAAAAAACTGACCTTATTCCTCCATCCACACATTCAAGGTGGATGAGGGAGTCCTCACTGTGTCTTTTGTATTCTTACAACAGCAGGGAGACTTGCTTGCCATCAGAATACACTGATCAGCGCTGCTAGCTATAGCCTGCGGTGCTGACTCAGTGGCTCAAAACAGACAGGGTGGTTGAACAAAAGTCTATCATTCGATCAACCTCTGGGAAACCACAGTGGCCATACATGGATTGAACTTTTGGCTGGTCCCTTCTGAACTGGCCAAATTCCATGTATGTCCAGCTTCACTCAGCTGCTGGAGTGCCTGAGTTGGCTCTGACTCTTTTTAATCACCACAGATCAGGCTTTAGAAGACCTTTTTTGCTTTTCATTTGGTCAAAGACAAAAGTTGTCCTTCCATGAAATAGTATAAAATTCCATTGGTGTTCCACACAGGCCTTCTGTGTTCAGAGTAAGTTCTCCAGGGGAGTATGCACTCATGCTTTCACTATTAAGACTTGGTGCAATGCTTGAGTAAATCATACGTGTAGTACAATTTTCCAGTTTCTGGGAACTTTTTTATGTTTTAATGCTTTATTAGATTTGTTTAGTGAATGTTGTGATGGAACACAGAGATCACTTTGCTTTGTTTTCAAATTAGGATCTTGTGAACTATTAAATCTCTCGGTATCAAAGAGAATTAGGTGTCTGTCTAGCCTGATGTTGGTGGCCTTTTTAAAGTGTTTTCCTGCTCACAGAGAAATCTTTTTTTGATAGTGAAAATTTCGTCAGGACTTCTGCTTTTTTAATAGTATTTTTTGTTTTGTTTTTTGCTGCATTGTCTTTGATTTTGACCATGCCCTTAGGAGTAGATTGAACCATCCAGGTCCTGGATAGGGAATGTGCTTCCTGAAAACCCTCAAAACACCAAAGGGAATAGATTTGCATGAACTTGAATGCACCTGTTAACAATACCTAGAAAAGCATAATCAAATAATATGCTGGTCAGAATTGACTTTGGAGTTTTATTTTAGAGTAAATCTGTGGTTTTCCTATTTATGGCAAAGAAATGGGTTTGGTTTAATCCCCGTATCCCCAGCAGCATATACTTGCCCCTCTGCCACTGAGCCAAAAGACGTCCTGGTACTTCAGGTATGGGGGAGCATGTGGCTCCCTCCATTTTACATTGCTGGTCTAGTCAGAGCTCTCATAGAGAGGCCATAGTTCTGTGTGAGCTAAAACACCAGTGAAGTCGTATCTTTCAGTACACAGGAGTTTAGCTCCTGGCACCTGAACAGATGTGTGGGGGAACGAAAGGAAGGTACGACTACATTTCTGGAGATCTGCATTCAAGTCCAATCTGCTGCTTTGTGCTATTTGGACAAAACAAGGATTCACTTAAACTGCTCTGTGTGCACATCCCTTTTTCCTTTTCTTTTGTGAAATGAATATCATGTACTAGCAGACACATGTTCTCCATGTATTGGAGAACATATTGTGATATCAGTCATGTTGGCTCGCAGATGGCCCACCTAGATAGGACTTTAAAAACTGCTTTAGGAACGCTGGACAAAAAACACTGTTTTGCATTTTGTCGCAGGTTTAGCTGTGTTTAGCCTAGTGCAGGGCTTAAAATTTCAAGTCCTGAGCTACTAGCCAGGCCTTAAGAGTTACTCGCCACCAACAAACACACAAACTGACACCTGTATACACACACACACACACACACACACACACGTACGTACGTACGTACACACGCACAGACACATGTACACACACACACACGTATACACACACAGGCATGTACAGACACGCATGCACACAGATACATGTACATACACAGAAATACACACGCACAGACACATGTACGTACACAGACACGCACATGTGCGCTTGCGCACACGTACATACATACACAGACACAAACAAGTACACACACGCATGCTGTTAAGTGCTCTCTCCCCTGAAGCCACCACAGCCCTATAAAAAGTTGCAGTACTTCGCTGTTCACTCACAGAGCGGGTGCTGCACTCTAGGGGGAGGCAGAGAGCACAGCACACACTCCTTGCTTTGCTTTCACTGCGCTCGGCTATTGAGCAGTCTGACGGCTCCCAGTGCCAATGACAGATCCGGCCTGAGCTCTGAGCCTGCTCAGCAAGACAGCCCTGGGGGACACACTCGCCCCCACCATAATTTCCACTCACCATTAGCGAGCAGGTGAGTGGAAATTTCAAGGTCTGGCCTAGTGTGTAAGCTACATTCAGTAGCTTCAGCATTAAGAAGTGAGGCCGTTCAGGAGAGGGACAGGAAGCCAGCTGCCCCTTCCTTAACGGATGAGTCATCAGCTGTCAGTGGGGTACCTGCCCCAAAGCACCCCCCCTCCCCCAGGTTAAGGGCATACGGCCTAGTATAGTTGGGGGGGGGGGGTGTTCGCTCAGCCCCTCCCCCTTTCCTGACGTGCCAGGCTGCATGCTCAGATAAGGGTCTGGTATGGAGTTGAAAAAAAATTTGGATTGGGGGTTCCCCTTAAAATCCATTCCAGACCCACAGGGCCTGGTATGGATGAGTGGGGGGGACATGGCATTTTTTAAAAGTGTGGGTTTTTCTTTTTTTTTTTTGTGTTACCTGCAATGGTGTGTGTTTTTATATAAAAAAAAACAATACGCACAACACTGCCGGCAATAAAAAGAAAAAAGTTAAAAAGCCCCCCAAAAAACATTGTCCCCATGTTGATGAGGACAAGGGCCTCTTCTCCACACAGGGTTGTGGGGGTCTGCGGGCAGGGTCTTATCGAAATCTGGAAGCCTCCTTTAACCGCACTTGCTCTGCTTCCCTTTTTTTTTTTTTTTTTTTTTTTTTTTTTTATGCTGGCAATGTTATGTGTGTTTTATAAAAAAAAAAAACAAACCCCACAACATTTTGGCAATAAAAACAAAACAAAAAAGTAAAAACAAAACAAAAAACCCAACAAGCCTGGTATGGATTGGGGGAAGGGCGCAGTTCAAACTGCTAAAAGTTGGGCACCAGCGTTTAGCAGAGTATAGGAGAGTTTAGGAGCTGTCAGCATTTTTTTTTTTTTTTCTGCCAAAATGCTGCTGCTCCTGGATGCACTGGGCCTGGGTTTTTACTGCTGGTAAACGCTACTGCTGCTAAAAGCGTCTACAGGTGAAACTCGAAAAATTAGAATATCGAGCAAAGTTCATTTATTTCAGTAATGCAACTTAAAAGGTGAAAGCAAGATAGTTCAAGCCGTAATTTGTCATAATTGTGATGATTATGGCTTATAGCTCATGAAAACCCCAAATCCACAATCTCAGAAAATGAGAATATTGTGAAAAGGTGCAATATTCTCGGCTCAAAGTGTCCCACTCTAATCAGCTAATTAAGCCATAACACCTGCAAAGGGTTCCTGAGCCTTTAAATGGTCTCTCAGTCTGGTTCAGTAGGAATCACAATCATGGGAAAGACTGCTGACCTGACAGTTGTGCAGAAAACCATCATTGACACCCTCTATAAGGAGGGAAAGCCTCAAAAGGTAATTGCAAAAGAAGTTGGATGTTCCCAAAGTGCTGTATCAAAGCACATTAATAGAAAGTTATGTGGAAGGGAAAAGTGTGGAAGAAAAAGGTGCACAAGCAACAGGGATGACCGCAGCCTGGAGAGGATTGTTAGGAAAAGGCCATTCAAAAGTGTTTGGGGCTTTCACAAGGAGTGGACTGAGGCTGGAGTCAGTGCATCAAGAGCCACCACACACAGATGGATCCTGGACATGGGCTTCAAATGTCGTATTCCTCTTGTCAAGCCGCTCCTGAACAACAAACAACGTCAGAAGCGTCTTACCTGGGCTAAAGAAAAACAGACCTGGTCTGTTGCTCAGTGGTCCAAAGTCCTCTTTTCTGATGAGAGCAACTTTTGCATCTCATTTGGAAACCAAGGACCCAGAGTATGGAGGAAGAATGGAGAGGCACACACTGCAAGACGCTTGAAGTCCAGTGTGAAGTTTCCAGTCTGTGTTGATTTGGGGAGCCATGTCATCTGCTGGTGTTGGTCCATTGTGCTTCATTAAGTCCAGGGTCAACGCAGCCGTCTACCAGGAGATTTTGGAGCACTTCATGCTTTTCCTTCCGCAGACAAGCTTTATGGGGATGCTGACTTCATTTTCCAGCAGGACTTGGCACCTGCCTACACTGCCAAAAGCACCAAAACCTGGTTCAATGACCGTGGGATCACTGTGCTTGATTGGCCAGTAAACTCGCCTGACCTGAACCCCATAGAGAATCTATGAGGCATTGCCAAGAGAAAGATGAGACATGAGACTGAACAATGCAAGAGAGCTGAAGGCCGCTATTGAAGCATCCTGGTCTTCCATGACACCTCAGCAGTGCCACAGGCTGATAGCTTCCATTCCACGCTGCATTGAGGCAGTAATTGCTGCAAAAGGGGCCCAAACCAAGTACTGAGTACATATGCATGCTTATACTTTTCAGAGGTCCGATATTTTTCTATGTACAATCCTTGTTTTATTGATTGCATGTAATATTCTAATTTTCTGAGATTGTGGATTTGGGGTTTTCATGAGCTGTAAGCCATAATCATCACAATTATGACAAATCACGGCTTGAACTATCTTGCTTTGCATGTAATGAGTCTATCTCATATATTACTTTCACCTTTTAAGTTGCATTACTGAAATAAATGAACTTTTCAACGATATTCTAAGTTTTCGAGTTTCATCTGTAAACTTCTATATGTGCATGGGCACATAGGATAATATGGGGGGCCATTTGGAAGACATATAAAAAAAAATCCCCCTAAAAGTGGCTGCAAAAAACGTCCTGTGTGCATGAGGCCTTATTTATTAAGAGCATCAGTTTTCTGCTCCACTGCAGCACAATGGTGTGAACAAACCCTTTTATGACTTCATAGGACAGTGTGATGTCTACTGCTCTGCATAATACAGGAAATGGAGCTCCAATCTTTTATGGTATACAGTTTTTATACAGAAATGTTATTTTGTCTACAGCTAATATCTATTAAACATTCAGACTAAGCGGGAGCCAACAAAGTAATGGTTTTCTTGGATGCCTTTCCCTATTTCAGATTGCCATCTCCTTCCTCTCTGTGATGTAATTTTTCTATTTCAGTAGTGAGATGATTTTTCAGGCGTTCTCAATTTTCTAGGAACAGAAAATCCATAATTTTGAGGCATTTGCCAAGTTATACTTTGCAGTAATTTTAAAATAAACCTGAACAAAAATAAAACTGACATACGTGTACATATCTCCCACTATATATTTCAGATTATTTCAGGCCATCAATTTACGCAGTATTATATTATTCATTCACCTCAGTCCCTGCCCCTCAAGGAACATACAATCTAAAGTCCCTAACTCACATTCATACACATACTAGGACCAATTTAGACAGGACTCAATTAAACTACCAGCATGTGTTTGGAATATGTGAGGAAACCAGTGTACCCAGATATGAAATCCTTTTGTACCCTTTTGAAGGCTGACTTCACTGTTTAAAGGAAAGTTGACCAATGCAGTCAAGGGTCACTGGTAGGGTAAAATGCACACTGCAGGTTAAAAAAAAAAATGCTTCATGTAATTGATTTACTTGTAGGCTTTTTTTTTTCTTTAATTGAGCTTTCTGAGACTGATCTAAGTCGTTTGAAAACAGAGCCTGGCATATGTCGGGAATGCAATTTGTTTTTTCTTTAAACATAGGCATATTGGAATTCATGGATTTTTGGGGGACATTTAGATAAAGGGCATATAAAGATAAAGGGCATATAAAAAAATAAATTAACCTCCTCATCCTCACTAGCATGCCTCAATCCTCCAACATGCATTACATTTCTTTAGTTCCTGGTTTCAAGGCCTAGGTAACATTATGCCATACATTCTAGGAGTCTTCGGGAGGGGAGGAGAAGTTTTCGGGATTCCAGGAAGTAAATGTACATGAATCTTGTGACGGTGTTTTTCAAAGGGATTTCTCAGCAAAATAAAGCAGGGAGACATGGATTGGTGTTTGTTTTGAATATTGAAAATTAATTAAAATGTGTTTTGGTTTGTGGTGCTCAGATGCAGTACGTTTCTGCTTTGAGTGTTTTTGGCTTAGTAGAATTCAATGAGATTACTTTTTTTTTTTTTTTTTTTTTTTTTTTAGCTTAGGCAAACTCCTCAAAAACACTTTTAAATACACAAAAAAGCTTCAATATCACCACCAAGATGCTCTGCTAAGGCGTGCATGCAGCAGATTTGTATGCCATTTTTATTTCTGGCTTTTACTTATTTTATTTAAAAAAAAAAAAAAAGACATTTGCTGCATAGTGTCAGATGTGGAAGTCATGCAACCTTTAATATATTCCAACATACTGTTCATACCAATATACCATGAGCTGTAGATCTAGTAATTATTATCAGGGTCTCCGGAGACCTTCAAGTAATTTGCAAAGGTTTCACCGTGTTGAAGAGGTTGAACGAGGCAGCTTTGGATTGTCCTGAGATGTGTCCTCACTTGAAGTCTACATACCAGCTGTCAGCTCCTCGTTCTCCGCATTGACCTGTAATACAACATCAGGAGCTGACGGCAAGAATAACCAATCTAAAATATCTTTCCTCCATCTGTTTCTGATCTGTATATTTGTCCTAGGCATTTCTGGTGTATAAATACTCTTTTCCTATGCTGGGAATCTCTTCCATGTGTCAGTCACCTGGGCTATATTCTGCTCTCTAGCTCTCTCTGCAGCATTCAGATGTTTACGTTTTTTTTTCCCCTTTTAATTCGCATGGTTGGATGTAAAAAGCAGTATCCATTACAAGTCCCAGGAGATGTTCTATGCTAGAATTGTATGTGAACAAGCGGAAAGCTGTTTAACCACTTTTCAGGTAGTAAAATGACTCCTGATGGGTTTGTCCTGCCAGAGCTTTCTCCTTTTACAGTTGTGTATATTTGTGCAAGCCCCAAAAAAAGGAACATTTCACCTTTCATTGGTTTTCTTAGCTGTTCTTGCTATAAGGCTCCATGCACACGGGGCGTTTTAATAACTCTGGTAATGTTAGCTGTGTAAAGTTTTTGTATTAGCATTTAGCAGCGTTTAGCCACTTTTTTTCACGTTTCCGTTTTTTAGCGTACTTGTAAAAAAAAAAAAAAAAGTCCAAAAACGCTGGTGTACTGCAAGTAACTGCGTTTTTTTTTTTTTTTTGTTTTTTTTTTTTAGCGATAGGGCTCGTTCACACTTGA